GGCCATTCGTGGCACTGACTCCCACGCTGGATTTTTGCGCACATGATGCGCCGGCGCAAGGCCGCCGCCACTTAGCTGTTCACAAGCCGACTGGGACTGGCTGTGCTCGAATGCGAATGCGAATGGTAGCAGCAGCAGCAGCAGCAGAGCAACAAGCATTGTGAGAACTTGAATATTAGCGGTAACCATGCCAGCAGCAAGAACAACAGAAACAGTATGCAGTGTTGCTGCAAGGGAACACAAATGAAGTTACCATTATCAGGATCTGCATTGTCTACTGCAAGTCAGATGTGGTACGTAATCTAATCTAAGTTGCAATCCCTATATAACTAAAGTCTCCATTTTTCCATTTTCCATTCCATCTTATTCTCTATAATGCTCCTTAAGCCCCAAAGACGGCAATCCAGTGCGCAGGCAACCCTAAACCCTGTTGGCTCCAGCATTGCCGGCGTTGATGGGCGTGCATGCAGGGAAGGCCTTGGACAGGCTCACATTGTCTGTTTCTTGCATTACCACAACAACGACGACGACGACGACGACTACGACTACTACTACTACTACTACCACCACCACCACCACCACTACCACTACCACTGTTACTATTATCGCCAGTATTGCTGCTACTGCACAGATTTGGGGTCCCTGGAGGGGGTTGTTACGTTTGGGACAACTTGATGTGTAGGGTAGATGGGGACCAATTTTTTGTTTTTGTTTAAAACGTAGATCGATGCACAGTAGCCTGCTGTGTAACTCCAGCACATGGTGTCATCTTTACCGACTCGGGCATGCGCGAAATTTATGATCCCTTCCCGGAGCTTTCTGTAAACAGTGAATAACTGTTGCACATGAGCTATAGTCTAAACGCCTTAAAGGGGGTTATGTAGGCAATTGAGTACAGGACTACTCTAGGGGCTATTAAGGGGGACGCTAGGCGTTAAGACTATAGCTCATATACTCGGTTGCTGTTGGCAAGGCACGCAAGATCTGGTGATGGTCTTCGTCAACTCCTGGGCCGAGCGTGAAGGGGTGCACATCAGGGAGCTCGCGAGGGGTCGGACGTAGGTTTGGGGTTATGGGTTCAGGTTTTTTTATTAAGGTTTTAGATTTCCTTGGAGGCCCATGGGACTTAGTAACTACTTTTAACTGGGATTATAACCCTACTTACAACTGGGTTAACTGGGGATTGTAAGTAATTAGTATTATGAATCCAATTATAAGTAGTTACTAAGTCCCATGGGCCCATGGGCCTCCAAGTAGGGTTTAGGGTTTGATAGCATAGTTAAGTAGAGGGAGAGAAGCACGTGCAGCCTTTGTCCCCCACTTGTGCCATAGTCTAAACTCCTAGCACCCCCCTTAATAGCCCCTATAATACTCCCCTACCAAGTATCCCCCTTAATAACCCCTACAATACTCCCCGAATTAATCCTGTAGATAACCCCCCTTAAGGCTAGTATCCCCCTTAATAACCTGTATAATACTCCCCTATAGAATCCTGTATAAACCCCCGCAAGGAATTCAGACTATAGCTCACCTGCAGCAAGATGAGATACCGCGCAGCCAAGGCTAGGGTCATTCAAACACAGCCAGCCTTCTCTGCTGCACGCGTCTGTCTGAGCCCGCGGCAGAAGTGCGCCCTTCAAGGCTTGAATTGGGTTTGGGGTAGGGACTCGAATCCCCATATCATAGCCCCTATAAAAAAATATTCCCTTACTCCTTACTAAGCCCCAGGAAGTTGAAGGGCGACTGTCCCACAGGTAGAATGCGAAGAGATACCCCGGCCTGCCATCCAATTCCTTCCATGGTCCTGGCAATCCCAAGCTTCAGGACTTCAAATTAAGGCTTCCCTGCAGATTGCACCAGGATTCAAGGATTTGGGTGCAAGCGTGCTGTATGGGAATCATAATATGAATACTGATCTGAGTAACATCAACATCAACATTACTATTCATACCAAAAGGCTAGTAATAAAACGACTACTCAAAAGAATAATGACAATAGTATATAATAACAATAATGGTACATCATGACCATGTTTGCGCTCCGCATCCAGGCGGCCGCGATGATGCAAAACGAGCGTACGCGGCCGACGGCTTGGATCCTGGGTCGCACATTTTTTGCAGAGGTAACCGTGGAGCTATCTACAAACAATAAGGACGAAAGGAATACTCCTCAGAAGCTCGCTATTGAAGGCTTTTTCTTGAGCTTAATTTTACTGGTTCTTAGTACGTAGGGAATGCTATATGCCATGGTCCCTATATACTAGATTCCCATATTCTCTACTACGAACCAATACCCTGAACCCTAAACCCTAAACCATAAGTTAACTTGGCTCATCCGAGGTTCATCCTGCAGGCGTCCAAGGAGTTCTGCGGACAGACTCGTCAACCATGGATCCAGGTCTGCTAGACCTGGCAAACGCTTGGCAACTCTTGCTTGCTGGGGCTTAATAGGGACTAAAGGAATATATTACATGGGTCTTCCATAGGGATGATATTCCCTTATTCCCTACGAAGAACCAGTAAGCTTGCATAGGCGCTGAGGAAACAAAGTTGAGCAGAAGTTGTTGGAATTGTAGCAGGTGCTAAGTCTCAGTAACTAGCCCGATGTTACCCCTATAAGCCCAGTTTCCATTTCATCTTCCATTTTCTTTTCCATTTCATTCTCCACACCCTAAAACCTAAAACTTACCAGCAGTCTGCCAGCGGTATGCAGCGGATCTTTTCCGAGCGTCATCCTGGCAAGACCTGGTACGTAGCGTCGGTGAACTCCTCTCTGTCGCCAAAAGGCCTTCCATGAAGGCGTGGCCTTTCACCCTCAGTCGGCTTGCTGGTTCTTAGTAGGGAGTAGGGGTAGGGAAATATGTTCCGTACTAAGAACCAGTAAGTTTCCCCTCAGTCAGCGAGGGGACAATGCGCACCAAGAACTCGACCACAACAGCACACATTGACAGGCCAGAATTCCAAAATCTGATTTGTTGCGCTCCCGAAGAGGTGTGATCACTCTCGCTACGTAAGCAAAGCAGTCAGGCAAGTGAGGGGAGTATGTCCAAGGCGCAGGCTAAAATGAACATGGAGAATCAAGAAACGGAAAATTACGCGCAAACTCGGGTTATGTAGGGGTTATATAGGGGAATGGACAAGAAAACGGAAACCCTAAACCCTGAACCCCTATTCCTCAAACTTGCTGCTGGCATGTGACTTCCTCGGTCCATGAGCTGCTGAAACCATTCCTGCAACAAACCGTAAACCTTGGGGTCGCATAGGGTTATATGGAGGATTACGGGTTTTACATAGGGATGTATAACCCATATAATGGAGAATGAAATGGCAGAGAAAATGAACACTGAGATGGAAACAGCCCTAAGCCCTAAACCTCTGAGTTTGCAAGACATGACCGTTGCATGCAGATCTCCTCGGCGGCAGCTTCTGCTGAATCCTCACCAGCAGAACGAGCAGCTCGAAATAGTAAGAATAAAATAATAGTAGTTGCAATAATAATAGTTATAATGACAGCGATAATAATAATCGTAGAATACTAGTAATAGTAATAATAGTAGTAATAATACAGACAATAGCAATGAAAACAGCAATATGCACGACAGTAAGAACGACAAAGTCTCACAGCGCGGGGAGTATAATATACTATTCTATATATCCGGTATACTACCCTATATTATCCTATGTTTGGGAGGGGTGGCAGGAAGGGGCCTGAGTCGCCGGAACACTCCCACAGCCATCGCGCTGCTGGCAATGAGGTACACAATGACCAGGATCCAGAAGTAGAGGTAGCCTTTTACATGATATAGGGGTTCTAGGGGCTTTATAGGGATTATATGAGGGTTCACACGGGTTATATCTGTACAACATGCAGCTACTTTGAGCCTGCTCTCTCCCTAAGTTTGTTCAAAATCCCTCCCACGTGAACACTGATTTGGTAGTTTTCCTAAACAATGGGATCCCAATATAGACCCCAGTAGACTATAATCCTTATTATAGGGACCCCCAAAAGGGTACCCCTAATTTTGGGGCTAAACCCTAAGCCCCTAAACCCTAAACCCTAAACCCTAAGCCCCTAAACCCTAAGCCCCTAAACCCCCAATTTTGCCAGGCGTCCGTACTCCCACTTGAGCTCTGGAATGGTGGGATCGCCATCGACGGCAAAGTTCATGCCATAGACACCTTCTAGAAGCCGTTTAAGGGTTTAGGGTTTAGGGGCTTAGGGTTTAGGGTTTGTTGCATGAGATGCCTTCGTTCCTATTGGTTATTGCTATTACCAGTATCACTACAATTAACCGTATTATTATATTATTGCTATTATTACTATGGTTTTGATGACAACAATGTCAGGCTTAAGGGCGGGACCAGCAAGAAACTGCACTGGCGCAAAAAGAGTCGTGGCAGTTGTCAGGACGAAGAGTGTGTCGTTCAGCCGCTGTGCGTGGCGGTTTTGCTTTTCCTGCTCCAGCGTCAGGGCGTCCTGAGCAGCTGCCCGACACAAGCATTGGACCGAATGATGAGACTGTAGAACAGAACGTATGCAACCTGCAGAATTGCCAATTGAGCCACCCCAAACTTTGCATACTCCCGTTGTGGTATAATATTTGGGAATATTGAATTTTAGGGGGGGCGGGAAGGCTGAAAAAAGGGGGAGAGGATTATGTGGGACCACAACTGAGGCCCTAAACCTCTAAACCTAATTGAACCCTAACCCTTAACACTAAACCTTACACCCTGGGAACCTCAACGGGAATGTTTACACAGTGAAGAGCAGGCATCCTTGGACTGGCGTCTTTGGGAATCCGCCTCCCTCCGGATTGCGGATTCATAGGCAGAAGCTAGAGCGCCACACCTGCTAGGGTTTAGGGTTTAGGGCGCGAAGACAATAACAGCCTGAGTAGCATGGGCTCCCTAAAATGGACATTTCTTGAAGATTTGAGGGTACCCACAAGAGACTTAGGGATCCCTCGTCAGGATTATGAGGGCCCTAGCTTCGCAGAAGTCTCATATGAGCTACTGTCTAAACTCCTAGTATCCCCCTTAATAACCCCTATAGTAGTCCCCTATATAAATCCCCTATATCACCCCCTTTAGGGAGTCTAGACTACAGTTCATATATTCTACAAACTCTGCGGCAGCCTCAATGCAGAAAGCTTATCTCAGGGCCGCCTGTCGATCAAGTGCCCGGCATCTTCGAGAGCAACTTCCACGTCGTCACCCATGTCTCGCATGTAGCCCGTCAGCCTGCTGATTCTGCAGCTGTCTGTGTGGCTGAAAGGTGGAGTCTGGACACCCAGTAAAATACATTGCACTAAAAAGTCGTCTAGCAGTGATAGCTGTAAGCACAATAACTGCGATTGCACGTGTCTAAGCTATTTCAACATGCTAGTGGCCCAGGCTAAGCCCTAAACCCTTTATGGCGCCTGCGATCCATGCCAGCCTCGCTAACCCTTTCTAGCAATCTTCGCAGCATCAGTCCTTGGCTTTTCTGTCATGTGAGCTATAGTCTAAAGTCCTAGTATCCCACTTAATAACTCCTATAAGACTCCCCTATATTATCCCATATATGACCGCCCTTTAAGGAGATTAGGCTATAGCTCATGGGTCACCCCTACCATCCACATCAGGGCCCTCTTCAAAACAGACCATCAACGGGGCACGGAAAGGGGAGACGGCCCTTATCAAGTTGTGATTTGGGCAGGTTCGTCCACCTTGTTGGGGTGCTTCCTTGTTTCCTGGAGTTGTGGTTCGACTGCTTGCAGGCCTGCCGCATCAAATGCCTGGTTTCTTATATGCGGACCTCCAGCTTGGGGGATTTTCAGTTCCAAGCAACGTCTCGGCGTTGTTGGCCTTCTTACCGCAAAGCAGCAGTAAAAGATTTCTTCGCTGCAGGAAGTCGAATTCTTTGCAGTCTGCAATATCTAAGATCCTCAAGACTCCTTTTTGGGGATAATCTGGCCCTGTTCAAGTAGCTTTCGACTCAGTTGACACTGCTCAAGTATGGTCTCAGAAGCCGTGATTGCGCAATCGCCGACAAACCACAGCCAGCTGAAGCCGCGCCAGCGAAACCTGCTTGTGGTTGGGGTTTAGGGCCCTTAGGGTTTAGGACTGGTTTAGGATTTAGGGTTTCGATTTTTTTCAATTTTGGGTTTAGTTTAGGGCGCACAATATGGGCATTTTGGAACTTCACTCCCCAAATGCCAAACGCTCCCCGAATCTGCCTCTATGTAACAAGTCTGTAACCCTGGGAATTCCTCGTTCCAGGGCTACAAGCTCAGCAGCACTCTCTGAATCCATTGGGGTTGGGCCCCTTTTGGTTATAGATTATATTACGGCACCTAATATTTAGGTGTACCAAAATGGGACTCTAATTTTGGAAACTACCCATGGAGACCGTTGATGGTTAAGATTTCGACCTAGCCAAGCATGACTCCTGTAGAACTTCGGGCTACCGAACTCAGGGCCTGCTCCATCAATACAATGATTGGATGGACAAATGTTTGTTGTTTCCTGCTTGTGAATGCCATCGTGCTGGTGAGCCCCTCTTCACTGAGATGCGGAAGCCTGCGGACAACAGAATCACACCTAGCAACCTGCGTAAATGTCGCATGCAGATAGATATCCGTAACATGAAAATACCAATATAAAAAGGAAAAGCAATAATAGAATAACAAATGGAAATAATAGTTTAATAGTCATCACAGTGAACATAGTAATAATACGGATAACAATAGTCATACTAGCAATATCTAATATGACTAACAATAGGAGTAGAAAGAAATAAAAGTAATAATAACACTGCGATAAAGAGTAACAATAATAGTAATAATAGTGGATCTTAGCAGACCGAGCTTGCCTGGATTTCCTACACAGGCGGGTGGTAGCTGCTACAGCTTCATGTGCTCACATTAGTGCATTCCACCGAAGAATGAGGCCTTTCGAAAAGGGCTCCTCAAGTAACACTACCTCAAGGAATTTTCTGCACACATCACATATCGGTTTCTCAAAGTCACCCCTGGTACTAGGGTCCTTCCTTAAGGACCCCGAAACGTAAATCCGAAACCCAAACCCTACACCCTAAAACCCTAAAAAGCCCCCACCATTTTGTGAGAAACCCATGGCCTCCGCGAGCCAGCTGGCGGGCGGTACAGGAAAACTGGCGGCTGTCCAGGTGGAGGACGCCAAGGACATTGTGCTTTGATTCGGCTGCAAGTCCTCCAAGGATTAGGGTTTAGGGTTTAGGGTTTTCTGATTAGGCTGTAAGTCCTCCTCCAATGTATCCAACCGTGCCTTCAGTGGCAAGGCAAAGTGAAGAGGTAGTTTCCCAAAATAGGGGGAACCCCAATACAGATCCCAATATACTATAATCCTGATTATGGAAACCCCCAAATAGGTACCCCTACTTTCAGCAAGCCCCCAAGTGTCTATGGCATGTGCTGAATCTGGGCTTGGCTCCGCTCATCATGTATGGCAAGAAACTTGCATGTATGCCTCATGACAAGGTTTCGGCAAAGCCGGAAGTTTGCTAAGGCTGCGTGCCTGTTTCTGCCCAGATGTCCACATTATGTTGATCATTCATATATATATATAAATAGAACAGGCTTTGGCGTGCTTCAGTTTCTGCACATCGTCAGTTGAAGTTGTAGTGCTGAGCATGCATGCTGCGTACCCCTGCGGGCTGTTTTGCGGGCTGTTTCTCACAAACGCCGGACAATCGCGCGTTTGATGGAACACCACCTTTTGCAGTGCCCAGATCAGACATGGTTCTTACATAGGGACATTACCCCAATAATGGAAAATCAACAACTGAAGATCAAATTGAACCTGACATGGCATGGAAACCCTAAAGGGTTTAAGGTCTAGGGAGTGGTCTAGAATTACATGGAAAATGAAATGGAAACTGCCATATAGTATATTAGGGTTATAATATTAGGGCTATATTGGAAATAATGGAAAAGAAAATGGAAACTACAATTTAGGGTGTAGGGTCTAGGTCATATTAGGGTTATATTGGAAATGATGCAAAAGAAAATGGAAACTACTATAGAAAATCAAATGGTCATTGAAATGGAGCCTGTTTTCCCGTACGGGTTTAAGGGATTGTGTTTGGTTTTTTTTTCTACATGTGTGGCCTCCCATACCGACTCGAGTCTTCTATAATGCCTACTCTTCCGAAGAAGGGTCCCTATTCTGTAGTTTCCTTAGACCTATAGTACAAATAGTATTCTTAATATTTCCTTAGGGTTATACTATAGTAAAAATTCAAAATAATTCCCAAGGACAGTACACTATTTTTTGGAAACCCCCGCATGGTTTCTCGTGTGTTGCCCTGTAGCCTGTAGGACCGATTCAAGAAGCACATGCTTATTGTAGAAGCCTGAATACTCACCAATTTTTTTTTGTAACACCCCTTCACACTCCTTTTCTGGGTATTTTGTTTCAGGGTTTAGGGTTATAGTACTTGTAGCAGGGCTGCAGCAAACGCTCGGACCACTGACAGCAGGTCGTCGATGCACAACCTTGCTCCAGGATGGCTGCAAAGCTCTCTTGTTTATATATAACAACCTTTTCATTAAAAGTACTTTTTCTATTAATAATAAGCCTACCAATATCAAGCTTAGCTATTTGTACTACTATCCCTTTTGTGATTTTTGACAGCTGGCCTTTTACTTCTATTTTGTTATGTTATATTCATCTCGTTTGAACAGGCCCTCTCAAGCCATGCAGAATACAATTTGGCACAGCACTTGAAAGCATGATTCTGCTTGGCAATTTTCGGGATTACCTTCAATGTTGCTAGACTGGGAAATTGGAATAGGCAATTGCACCTGCAAACCCATATATGACCCCGGTATCCTTTTCAATTTCCATTTTCTTGTCCATTTGATTCTCCACTATTGGTATTAAACCAAGATCCGCCATAACCCCTATGTGACAGCTACAGCCCAATTAAGCGAAACCCTATCATCATTTCATGGATATTCATGCGCATTTGACTTCGACGAGGCGCTGTACGATGTGCTGGGCTAGATGCCTGACATCATGTTCTGCCAGCCGAGAAGGCGTCCTCCTTAGTCAACTTCATGTGAGCCATAGTTTAAACTGATGATATCCCCCTTAATAGGCCCTATAAGACTCCCCCATATAATCGCTTATATAACCCCCTCGCAGGAGTTTAGACTATAGCTCATGCGCAGAAGATAAAACATTGTATGGGAGGTGTTGTTCAACTCGCCAATAACGGAGAGCCAAGCGGAAAGCAAAATACACATACAGAGGTTATACGTCGATCTATAGGGTGCATGGTGAAAAGAATCATCAACAGTCATTCCCGCATGGCAGGACAAGGCATTTGCTAGTAGCATTCTGACAATCTCACCGTGTGACTACTACTTCTTGCTTGCTCTAATTTGCCACTTGTAAGATATTATTCCGCCGTTGCGGTTTGTACAGTTTGACACTTAACTTTGCTGGCTGGGCTTCTTCAGTCGCTCCATAAGGGCTTCTGACCACGCATCGTTCCTTGGCTGCTCTTACGGTAGCAGGCAACAGGGAATTGTTTTGCAGTTTGTACAGGAACCCACACCAAGCGTATAAGGACATCCACGCCCCAAACAGTATCAATATGATCCAGCAACGTCAAACCTCGTCAATCCCGATATAATCCCGATTCCAGCTCATTTTCCTCTTTCTGTTGCATTTACAATATTTCCATTATAGAAACGTACTAAGAACCTTGTATTGCTGTTGCCATCCATTCTTTCTACTATTGCTATTACTATGTCCATTACTGTTACCATCAAATATCACTACTACTAATCCCCACCCCTTAATATTAAATATGCTCATCGTGGTATACTATGATGCACTGGGAAGATGTAGTATGGGGGGGGGGGTTAATTTAATGGCAGGGCGAGCACCCTCAACCCTAAACCCTAAACCCTAAACTCTAAACCCTAAACTCTACACCCTAAACTCTAAACCCTAAACCCTAAAACCTAAATCCTAAACTTTAAACCCTAAACCCTAAACTCTAAACCCTTAAACTTTGAACCCTAAACCCTGAACCCTAAACTCTAAATCCCAAATTCTGGACCCAGATTCATGGCTGGTTTGGAATTCTCTGCTCCGGGCCAGTCCTGTGCGCTTGTAGGAAGCATTCGTGTTGGGGCGCCCTTCTCAAAAGACTGGAGGCCCTAGGGACCTCAGAGCCACATAGGGATGATACAGAGATTATGGGGGGTCCCCTTCAGCCATTATGTAAGGACCATTTCGAAGAAAGACGCATTTGGGGGTGTCAGCCCTTAGGGAAAGTACGGAAAACACATTCCTAGCCCTACGCTAGGATCATTTTGTTCCGCAATGACATTGTTGAAGGATGAAACCGTGCACCACTTAGCCTAGGGTTCTTGACAATTACAATTCCTAGAGCTTTGTGCAGCGGGGGGGAGTTCAAGAGTTCTTCCATCAAGACTACTTCACATTCCCGCGTAGGAGTTGCACCTGCTCGAAGGAACGGTCCGGCTGAACCACAGTTATCCTTGGACGGTTGACGTTTAAGCTTCCTAGGCCTTCTGGTGGAGATTCGAAGCTAAGAATTCTGGCTTTTGGGGTTGAGGGCTTCGGCTGTCTGGCTTGGGGCTGCGGGTTTGGGCCTAAGGGCTTAAGATCTCAAGTTTTGGGAACCTCTCACCAAACAAGCCCGGTAACCGCAGATTACTGGCAGCAAGAACACAGAGGGTAACTCATCATTTAAGCAGCTGTACTGACAACTTCCGTTTGGTTTCGTTCCTACATACAAACCCTAAACCTTAGGTGGACCCCACACCCAGTAATAGTGACTATAAGGAATAGTAAGGATTATATTAGGGTCCTCTTATATTCCTATTTATACCACTATTACAGGGTGGGGGGTCCTCCTAACCTAAACCCTAAACCCTATATAACCCCAATTTCCATTTCATTTTCCATTTTCTTTTCCATTTGATTCTCCATTATTGGGGATAATATTGGTAGTTCTTCAGGCCCCTATATTGTACTTCCTTTAGGCCCTACCTGAAATCTCTTGTTGTGCTTCCCTGCCACGGCTCAGGGTGTCGGCTCGGTGCGGCGCAGATATGATCAGCGTCAGGTATGAGCAGCTGATCTGAACAGGCCCAGAACCTGGAGTCTCCTTAAACCTATCATGAAAACTGTATGTTTAATAATTCCTTAAAGTTGTAATAAAAATGGAAAATGACTCCGAAGGAGACTACAGGAACCATCATGCCCATCCGATCGCCGCGATAATGGGTCGACTTGCAGCCAGTCTAGCGTCACGAAAATGTTGTTGCCATGCTCGCCCACTTTTGTCGGACCTAGTCGGGGAGCTGCTCGAGTTGCTTGCAACTTTTCCTGTTGTGTAGAAAAAAGGCAAACATTCTGAATACTAGCAAAATACCTTGTTCGATGATATCCTCCACGCCAAGAGGGGAAAGCCGGTACTTCACCATCAAAGCCATCAGCAACATGAGATGGCATCCTCGCATGTGGACCCAGCGGTGAATGTCGTTCGGTGGGTCGAGTTGTGTTCGATGGCCAAAGAAGAATCTGAGCAGCTTCTCTCCAGTAAGCTCCTGCAAAAGGCTACACTGCGGTTCCACTTGAGTCTGCAAAATGTCACACATGTGGCTAAAGAAAGACTTAGGGGGATATGATGATAGAGTAGAAACTTGCGGGCCGCTTGTGCTGCTCAAGAGTTTCATTTTCAGGTGATGAAATAATTCTATGGAGTCTTGCCCAGCCTTGTGCAGTTGAACTGTAAACGGAAGGATGTGAGCACAACAAGCGTACCGTCTGACTACATCAGTGCATTGTAGGAGCTTCATGGGGGTTTTACCCAAAGCGCAGCAAGCGGATATCAGTCTCAAATCCCTCCGCTCCTGCACTGAAGCTTTGTTCATGCAGTAGTCTACCAGTGTGAAGCGGCCACTGGGAATGTTCCCACTGACGCTACCTGGACAGTTTGTGGCTCACGGTCAAGGCGGCTAAGGCGGCGGGTCACCGTCTCATGCAAGGCTCATCTGGCTTTTGGTTAGCTGGCAATGAAGGAATGGAAAAGAAAATGGAAACTACTATAATGGGTTATATGGGGACTACTATAAGGATCCATTCCTTCATTCCTACCATATAATCCATTACAGTAGTTTCCATTTTCTTTTCCATTCCTTCATTCCTAGCTAACCAAAGGACAATCATTTGAAACACCTAGCGCCCCTTTGTCATAGTAGTTTCCATTTTATTTTCCACTATCCCAATATAACCCCTATCTAGCCCCAATATATGGATGGTTGTCTAAATTATGGTCCCTTTTTGGATCCCTATGATAATACGGCACCAAATATTCAGGGTACCCAAAAAAGGACCATAATTTTGACAACCACCCATATACCTTATTAGAATAATGCAAGGCTCTTTTGAAACACTTCGCACTAAATTGGCCAGCCTTCTCCTCGTCCGAGTAGTTGAGCCAGCTTCAGCCGAGAGAGTAGCAAATCCAACTCCATGGGCTGTAAGCCTGCGGTTTAGGGGTTAGGGATTTAGGCTTTAGGGGTTTAGGGTTTAGGGGTTTAGGGTGTAGGGTTTAGGGGGAAATTACCGGGTTGCTGTTACGGAACTTAAGCGAAGTTACTATGGAAACTCCTTTCTTCATTTGATTCTAATGTTATGGTAACTGAAACTAAATTCCTCAAGAACAACCCAGACGACTTGAAGTGATACAGGGTGGTTTGGTGAGCCAGGGTCATGCTGTGCAGCTTCTGCACACTCCGCTCTCTTCTCCATTATGCCTATAGAATCCTAGAGCCCCTATGTAACCCTAAACCCTAAGCTCAAACCTTTAAACTCTAAACCCTGAACTGAAACCCCTAAAGTCCAAACCCTAAACTCTAAACCCTGAACTGAAAACCCTAAAGTCTAAGCCCTAAACTCTAAACCCTGAACTGAAAACCCTAAAGTCTAAACCCTAAACTCTAGGCCCTAAAACCTGAACTCTAAACCCTAAAAACTAAACTCAGAAAGGGACGCTGTGGACGCTAGTTTTTGGATGCATATCTTATTGAATATCATGTACTGTATGGCCTTTATGTATATTTTACCACAGCATTCCTTTCTTTAATATAATTAATATGGGTTTTGACATTGCTTATATAAGAATGGGTGCGCCCGTCAGAACTGGAATTACTGAGATTACTGAACCTTTATTTCAGTAATCTCAGTAATCCAGAG